ACACACACACACACACACACACACACTCACTCACTCACACACACACACACAAATACACACACTCACACACACACACACACACACGAACACACATTTTTTTCAAGCTATCAACTCGTGAAGTACTACTACTCACGTTTCCATCCTGGGCGCTTTAGGGGATGTCGGTGTGTGGCACACGCTGCCCAGAGAATGAAACTCTTCCTCGTCGTCTTCTTCGTCGTCGTCAAGGTCATAATCACCCGGCTCGTCAGATCTTAGAGCTTTCCTATCCGCGTCCTTGACGTTCGCCAACAAATCCGGAATGTTCGTCTCACTTTTCCTCTTGCTCAACTGACGACGGAACAGCGGCGGGGGAGGGGCGCTTCTCCCTGATCCAGGGGTCGTTGTTGCAGTCGTTGTTGTTGTTTTTGGTGCGGCGCTCTCCGGAACTGGGAACGGTTTCTGGAACACGAACTGACCACCACCACCACCACCACCTGGGTTTTCCCCGTTTCCTGATGTCGACATATCATTATTACTATTATGAGTCGTTGATATGTCGTAAGAGTCGCGCCCCTTGTTGTTGCTGTCGTGATCAGGCGATTGAATCCGTGCCGTTTTCGATTTGTCATCGTCTGCTATTGTTGTGTCGATACCCCTGGCGTTGACCAATGAGGTGGTGATGTCGTCTGATGTGGACGGTCGAGGAGCGGCGGCGAATACGTCATCGTCTTCATGGCTGTTTGCTGTGGAGTTCTTTCCGATTCGTGGAGAAGGAGACCACGACCTCTCCCCACTGCCTCGTTGTAGGTCAAGCACATCACGACTTGTATCGGGGAAACGAAAGGAGTAGTTGCCATCAAAACGGACTTCAGTGTCGGGTACCATGTCAACACTTTTGACTTCTCTCGTGTTCTCAACTTGCCCACCAGCGTCGTTTCTCGGAACAGAAGAGATGACCCCAGAGTCACATTTTGCTTTGTCATCATCTCCACTACCATCGGCCCAAAAAAACCTGTTCTCGCCATCACCACCACCGCCATCACAGCTATCTCTCCCCTCCTCTTTCTCCTCCCCCTCTCCTATCTCCAGTGAGCCGCGTCCAGGTGGACTCGACTGGCCATCCACCTGGAAACCCAGACTGTCGGTCTTATCGAAAGCGCTTGACCTTCTTCGGCCCTGCTGGTGTTGTTTTCGTAACACCGTCGATAGCAAAGGTTGCACGTTGTGGGGCGGTGGTGGCTTAGGGGCAGTCACAGTTGTGGTCTCCGCAGGTTCACCAAAATTAGAAGTTGCTGCTTCGTCATGGAGATTAGATGTTACTTGTTCGTGAAAATCGGAAGTCATTGGTTCGTCATGGACATAAGAAGTTTCTGGTTCATGAAAATTGGACGTCATTGGTTCACGAAAATTAGAAGTGCCCAGTTCATGAAAATTTGAAGCCTGTGCTTGATCATGGAAATTGAAAGTGGATGATTCATTAAAGTTAGGAGACGTTCTGGGTTCTTGGACGTTAGAGGCGATGGGTTCTCTGATGTTAGCGTTCACGTCACTCGTAGAACGTTGTAGAAAGTTCGATACAGGGTCAGACAGTTCAGGGATGGGGTTAGTGTACATCTCGTGGGTGTTGTGAGCGGACACTGGGTTTGACCTGCAGGCGATCTGGTTGTCAACAGCAGTACTACCACAAGTGGTGGTGGTGGTGGTGGTGGTGGTGGTGGGAATGGGAATGTTTGCGCAGTAGGGGTCGTTGGGGTCAGAGTCCGTACGTTGATTCCGAGACCCCTCCCCCTCCCCATCACTTCCCTGTGTCCACTTGTGTGACGTGACGTCACAGTTTTGTAGTGTGCTCATCTTCTCGTCACGTAACCCCCCCGTCTCGTTTTCGTTTCTACAGCTCTCGTTTCCATTCTCCTCTTTCCCTTCATCTACTTCCTCTTCCTCCTCCTCCTCCATTTTCTCCTCTTCTTCGTTCTCCTCTCTTTCCCTGCTCTCGTCTTCCTCGTCCTCTTCCTGAGTTACGCTAAGTTTCGTCCGCGGGTAAGAGGAGGGGAAGGACCGGGAGGACGCCAGCCTCCTCAATGTGTGTGCCATACTCTTGACACTCTGAGTCGGCGCCGGCACTTTTCGTAACCGGTGAGGTCGGTGGTGGTGGTGGTGAGCGGCGGTTGGCGGGTGTCTCTGCCCTTTGTGGTGAGCGCTGGACGACAAACCCGTGAGCAAACTTCGTGCGTGCTGCGTGGAGGGCGTTGTAGATGATAATAACGACGACGACGACGACGATGATGATGATGGTGGTGTGTGCAAAGAAGCCGTCAATGACGAAATAGAGGTTGGGAAACCCGAGAAGGAAAACAAAGACTCACCGTTGTTCTGTTCAGCCGTTGTTGTGGGTGGAGTGGGTCTAGAAGATACATAACCGCTCCCCTCTCCCCCGTTCTCCATATTGTGTGAAGAAAATCAGTCGAGAGAGATCAGGGGGAAAAACACTCGTGCTGCTGTCGTAAATTGTGTTACCAACTTCAATTTATTGACGTAGAAAAACCAGAGGAATAAAAACACGGACTGTCTGTCGCAAATGGTGTTTACAAATTCAATTAATTGACGTAGAAAAAACCAAAGGAATAAAAACACAGGCTGTCTGTCGCAAAATGTGCTTACCAGTTGAACTAATTGACGTCGTAGAGAGATCAGAGGCAAAAACACGGGCTGTCTGTCTGTCGCGAAAGGTGCTTACCAGTTCAACTTCTAATTGACGCACGCGGTGGGGTGTGAGAGGTGGTGGTGGTAGGCGGCAGTCAAATGAACCGATCCCCAAGAACTGCCAATATTGTCCATACAGATTTCTTTACGACTTCTGAATTAGGAACATTTCCTACGCCGACTCGGCACCGAACAAAAGCACCAAGTCACACCCAATCAAGCAGAGGCACATAATAAAAACCTTTCTGTTCCGAACAGCGCACTCCTTCGAACCTTGAAAGACTTGTTGAGCTGCTATGAGATTCTTCCTGCTATTCATAAGCACAGTACAGAGGTAGCGCACGCACAGACTAGGCCTACGTAAGAACCGCTAGCCCCCACAAGCGATCACCGAATAACTAGCCTAGCAGCTTGCAGCGAGGGGGCCGACTTGAGTCCTTGCTTGAGCAAGGCTGTGTGTGAAGTGTGAAGTATTGTGTGTGTGTGTGTGTGTGTGTGTGTGTGTGTGTGGCTGTGTGTGGCTGTGTGTGAGGGGGACGTAGTCAGCTAAGAAGACGGACGTACGGACGTACGGGGGTTCAAGCAGAGCACTCAAGAGAGAGAGAGAGAGAGAGAGAGAGAGACAGAGACAGAGAGAGAGAGAGAGAGAGAGAGAGAGAGAGCCAACGAACAAGGATGGAGAGGCGAGAGACGGAAGGGAGTATCACGTCGAGGGTGAAGAGATGTAAGCAAAAGGGGAAACTTGGGGGCGGAAACAAAACGAACGTTGGAGAAGAGCAGACGACACAGTGAGCAACCCTCCCCTCCCCCACCCATCTCCCTCTCCCCCTCTCTGTTTCCCCCTTCTCTCTTCTTCTCTCTCTCTCTCTCCCTCTCTCTCTCTCTTTCTCTCTCTGTATCTCTCTCTCTACCCCTCTATCCGCCTGTCTATCTGTCTGCCTCTCTCTCCCCTCCCATCCCCTCCCCTCCCTCTCTCCTCCCCCTCTCCGCCCACCCCACTCTCTCTCTCTCTCTCTCTCTCTCTCTCTCTTTCTGAAGGGGTAGGCTATGGGGAAAGGGTTTGTGGTCGCAAAGCCACTAGAGGTCTCCGTCAGGTCATCCACAAGTACCCCCGTCAGCTGCTAGTGTTATGTGCACGGGTCATCAGTCTACGTTAATTCTGATTCCCTTCCAAACTTCTTTTGTTTTTGTAAAGTTTTTACGGCGCTCGCAACTGCATAAAATGCCATATGAGCGCCAGAAGATTAGAGGTGTTACAAGAGAGTAACAAACTATAAAAAAAGAAGAAGGGGAGAAAGGGACGATAGATATCTGATAGAAACAAGAAGCAAACCACACCAGAGCACCCGCCAACCACCCACAGGTCGTTGGTTGGAGTAGCAGCTGTTAAAAATAATATTTTGAAAAGTGGAGATTGTGGTCGATGACCTTGGTGCCATTCTCAGAAGTCTAGGTACTGTATAACACCACACGTATAACAAAGATGAAAAGCATTATAAACGACCCATCACACCCCCTTTCCCTTTCTCCCAAATTGTCAGATCACGCAGCGGCAGATATGTACCTCTAAAAACAAAGAAAGAAAGACTTAAAAGAAGTTTTTTTCCATCTAGCATAGTCAGAATAAGTATATATATA